ACTACGAGTGCTACCAAGTGCAGCGGGGCTGCCGTAGCTCATTGATCGGAGGAAGGTAAGCTAAGGTCACCGACATTACGTTCTTTACAACAACCAGCACGAGTGTAGCGGATCCCAATCCGTTACATCCAGGAGTACTAAGAACTTTAATCAAGGTGTAGGCGACAGTTCGTTTAAAATTGAAACAGTATATGACTGTTTCCTTTGCGGCAGAGCTGCATACATCTAAAATACTAGTCTTTCCTGATTAAATAGTACTAATACTCAATACTACTGGCGATTCTGCCACGTAGTGGCATCTTTTTACGGTGTAGCCATACTATCGATAACATCAACTTGTGTAATCCACATCTATGTACGATCACACCATTTTAAGTGACCCGCCCAATCCAGATGTGTACGTGTAATATCGTTACAACACTTGTCATTTGTGCTTTTTGATCTTAGATACTGGCTTAGTTGTGGTACCCGATGTCAAGCGTAAACATACAAGCATGTAAATTTCGAGTGTCTACGTCAGTATATCTGCTTGATGTCGATGTAGTAAATCATCAAATTTTTTTCGTGCACACACTTCGTATAAAGTGTTGCCTTCCGTTGACGTGTTGGCTAGAGTGATCGCTTCTTGGTTTTCTTCAAAAACTTGTGTGCGTTACGCTTGCTCTTGTCTCACGTCTTTACGCATCACCCGCGCTCAAAGCTCTTCTGGAGTGTAAAGGCTGACCTCCCATACGTTCAGCCTCCGCCGAAGTGAGTGCAACAGTTTGGTGGTATTCTAACTTGCACACCACTAGCATGATTATAACCCCGAAAGCGAACGTCTGTCTGTAGTGCTCCTACTCCAATGTACTCGCCCGAATGTTTCATACGCCATATTACAGCTGCCTTATTTTCTGTAAAACCACGGATAAAAAAATCTGATTAAGCTTTCTGCGTGCTACACTTCATGATAGTAACAACCTATTCATTCTTTCTACCAAAGCAGTAATCACATTGCGGTCAATCCATCTTCAGATGCTGATGTACATGTAGTTACGTACAGCAGGCATTCAACCAAGGATCGATCTGTTTTCAAGCGCATTGCTAAACGACACTCTCCTATTGTAGGCGCCTGCATCGACACCAACTTCACTTCTGATGCGCACGGGCTGTCGACACTCTTGAAATCTTGTTGACCTAATTGTCTCGATAATTTGATCATCAGTGTTTTGGCTTACCA